GGACCAGGGGCCAGAATTACAGAAGGATTGTGGCCATGGAGGTTGGTGCCAGGCACCTCACAAGCCACACCATGGACAGGCCAGAGAGAGCTGTCACTGTCAGGACACGCCCCATGCCTGGTCAGAGTAGCTGAAGGCTAGAGTCAGGGAGGAACTGGGAATCTGAATCTCACCTTAAAATGTTTCGAACAAAATTGGCTGAATTGCCTTGCGTACGGGAGCAAGCAAGCTCTATCACCAGCTGCAAAGGGCACTCGGGAACTTGGCTGAGCGCAGTTCTGGGGACATTCACTGCGCCTTTGCACACTGGCCTCTGATATCTGTGGCAACGATGGCCGGGCCGGGGACAGGGCACACAGATCAGGGCCAGGACTTGGCTCAGTTCTAAGGGGCCAGAGGGGTCGGGATGTACTTTTACTATAAAAAACAAACAAAAAAAAAACCCCCAACAACACTAAAATACAAAATAAAAACAGAAGGAAACATCCCCGGTGGGAAGGGGTGGTGCCCGTGGGCTCTCTGGTCACCTCTGCCTCCTGATCAGCCCGCTGCCCACCGTCACCATGGCATCCTCCACTCATGCCAGTGCTCCTTTTGATGCTGACTTTGCACATGTTGTTCCCCTGGCCTGGAACGGACCCTCTGGCCTCCAATTTATTTAAATATTATTTCCTTGGAAGTCTTTTCCGAGGTCAAAGGGCAAGGTGGCCCCCTCAAGTCCTGCTCACAAGGCTTCTTGTGGTTTAATTTGTCCAGTCAATGTGACACCAACAGGGGGCGCCCAATCAATGACAAAGAGATGAATGAATGAAAGCGGTGTGTGTGGGGGGGGGTGTCCCATGTATAGCAGACAAATGACTTCCAGGCTCTAGTTTTAAGTCCGAGCTCTCACATTTTAGCACATTTTAGAACTTGGCTATGACACTGATGTCTCTGCCTCTACTGCTTCATCTGTAAAATCAATACTCAGTACGCTGCTACCGAGTGCTGGCTGTGCCTTTGACAATGCCAGCCTCTGGGAGTCACAGCTCCACCCCCCCCCCCAAACAGGTGACAGGTGCGGGGGGTATATACTCAGAGGAAAGACATAGAACAGCTGTGGTGGGAGCTCATGCGGATGGTGGAGGACCCTCCTAGGAGGGTGGGTCAGGTGTGGGTTATGAGGCCACAATTACCCTTCACCCATCTCCCCAGCTAACTACACCCCACCTACACCCCACTTCCACCCATACCCAATCCAAACATATACATTTCATCTGTACATATTTCTGTGTCTCTAACAGATGAGGACTTAAAATAACATGCTTCATTTTACTATTATATCATACAGTAAAATGCAAGCCCTGGTAGGATGTTCAGATGGCGAGGCTAGAGGGAGCAGTCTATAGAGGGCTTTGATAAGTCTTGGGGTGCAGAAGAGGCCCTGGGGAGCTATCAGGACTGGACTGGTCCCAGTGTGGCCTTAGAATCTGCATGACCTGGGCATGTCACCCTGCCTCTGTGCGCTCCCTGGTTAAGTGGTGATGAGAACATATCACCCACCTCTTCCCAGGGCTGTCCTCAGCATTTAATGTCATCAAGTAAGGGGCGAAGTCAGGACAGGAAAACACTGCTCAGGTTTAAGGGGTCGTGAATCCTGGGAGAGGAAAAGCAAGCGACCTCTTTAGGGCTTAGCCCCTGGTACTGCTTTCCTGGCTGGTGGTAGAACCCACAGAGAACCTACAATGATTCTTCAAATATGCATGTGGGTCTTTTTACTGTTAACAAAACCCCAGCTCCATAGTCCATGTCTGACCCTTTAACAGCTCTGCCTTAAATGGCTCTGTGATTTCTGATGCCAACTCTGGACACCCTGGGCCTTCACAGGACTCCTGGGACCGGGAGTCAGATACAAGCGTGAGTTACAAAGTCTTTGGATTGATGTTCTGCCTCACCTCCCCAGGCCCCCCAATTTCATAAGTACGTACTGTGTGCCACTAAAGTGCTTAGACAGAGTTGGAGGCAGAACAAAGTGACTGCAGGTTTCTGGGAGAAGAGGGCCTGGCCCCGCGGGCAGCAGGCCCTGGGGGCCTCAGTGGTGTAAGCGGAAGGTCACTACAAGGGCATGCAAGGCGGCCTGGGCCAGTCCTCATATCATGATGACCAAGTGAGCTCAGGACCCTGACTCACAGAGCAAGAGATTTGTGAAAACACACACAGTGATGCTGGTCTCTTTGAGAAACAGAGGATCAATTTAGTAATCTAAAAAAAAAAAAAAAAAAAGATTTTGCAAATGAATTTTTGTGAGAACAAGTCCATTTGTTAAAACACCAAAACTGGTCTTAACCATTTTTCAAAATGGTTAATCCCTTAAAATTGTATGTACTTTGCTGTCAAAGTAAAATGAATTTATGATTTTCCTGGTGACTGAGGGCTATCGTTAGGAGGCCACATTCAATTAGACTCTTTTACAGTTCCTTTATTAATTCTTAGACTTTTCACAAGCCTCGTGTCAAGGCCCTGCAGCAGATGGCAGGAGGGGTGGGGTCCGATGCAGCGGCTCCCAGGTCCTATGTGACAGGCAGGGGGATGTGTGTGGGGCCACTCCTTTTCCGACATGCTCTGGACCCCAAGGCAATGTGAGTGAGTTTGAAAGAATAGTAGCAACTTGTCTTAGGACAAGAGGTGCTTCTGTTAGGCCCAAGGGAAACCGAGCAAGAGGTTGACTCCACTTTTCCGAGGAGCACTTGGGCTCCCAGGGGCCAGCACCTTGCGGGAGTCACACAGCAGTGCCTGGGCTGGGCCCGAGTGCCGCCCTGCTGCTGGCGGGCTGAGTCCTCACCCAGTGCTTGGACAGGATGGCCTTCTGCCTCGCACCTGCTGCGATCTCTGGCCACTCGCTCTTGCCTCTATTCATTTTCAATTTGCTACTAGCAACTTAACAAGGACTTGGAAAAGCTCATTAGAGTGGTGTTGCAGAAACCCCCGAAGTCTCTAAGCCTCACGAAGATGTGGTATAAATACACAATGGGATACTACTCAGTGATCAAAAAAGATAAACTCCTCATGCCATTTGTGGAGACATGGATAGAGCTGGAAGGAATTATGCTCAGTGAAAATAAGCCAGAAGTGAAAGATAAATAACTGCATGGTTTCACTTAGATGTGGAAGATAGAGAAACCAAAGGGTCAGAGAAAAACTTTAAAAACAAACCTTGAATACTGACTATAAATCTGAGACTTCCAGAAAGGGAGGAGGGAGGAAGGACAGGTACTGGGGGGGGAAAACCATGGCCTATGGTAGAGAACTATGGTGCTCTGGTGGCGGGAGGGCTATGGGGAACACACCCGAGGGGAGAAATCCTACACTGCCAAAAAATGAACAAGGATGTAAACAACAGCGTAGTTAAAAAGCCAACCACCCACCCCAGGTCTGGAAGCCTGCCGCTGTCAGTCTGTAGCTCTGTGCCTGGCTTGGCTGGCTGTGCCAGTTCACTAAGTGGCTGTCTTCTCATCATCTAAATTCATGACCCTCTTTTTCTGGACATTTCCAGGCTCGAAGTGTGGAGTTATTCTAAAGACATGTCATTTTTATTCTTTTAAAATCCACAAGGCTGAGCTGTTTACCTACAAAACTATAATTAAATGGGTTAAGAGGAGGGGGAAAAATGCAAGCTTCTATCTACTTCAGGCAAAATTAAGAGCTCTGGGCACCAATTCAGCACTCATGGAGGCCTCCAACCATAAGCAAAAAAAACCTTATGCATGAAGCGGGTTGAAATAAGATCGTGATGTCAAAAAGCACGAGAATCAAGCTAAGGAGGCTGATGGGCCCTGTCTCAGCACTGTGTCCCTGCCATCCCTCTGAGACTTTGCAACACTTGACATTTTAGAGCTCAGGTTTTCAAAAGACTATTATTTCAGCCCTGGTACATTCTCTCGGTGCACAAGACAAGTATCTGTATTTCAACTGTCCTGCCAATGCCTGATACAGAGGTGGCAAGAAATCCTTGAGTAACAACTCCCAGTGTAGCTGGTGCTTTGCAAAGACTGTTGGTGCTTTCATGGCAATGTTTTCTAACATTCTATTCCATCCTGGGGCCAGGGTGTGTGTGTGTGTAAGAAGTGGGGTTCCTTAAAGGGTCAATGATTTGACCAGGGTGGAAGAGTTGGGGCATTCAGAATCAAGCTTGTCAGGAAGTTGCTGGCGGCTCCCTTACCACACAGTGAAAAGCCAGCCCTGTGGTATTTACCCTGAACACATCCGGGACACCAGGACGACTCAGACTCCCCCCACCCCCAGACATAAAAGGAAGATCAAAGAGATTCAAGCATGTATCCCCAGAGCCCAGTCTCATCCTGGCCACTTGTCCTAAGTGAGTTCTAACCAGGTTACTCTTCTGCTTTTGAGCCTGCAAGCTGCAGGCATCACCCAGAGCTGTTGACTTGGCACCAAGAGTCCTTCTCACTGGCCGCAGTTCAGTGTCTTGAGATGTCAGTGTCATTACCTTTCTTCACATCCAACTGGGTCTCCGGCAAACTCCTCGCTGTCTTGCAAACACACACAAGGGTTTACCTGCCTCTAGGGCTTTATGCACACTGCTCCTTCCATCTGAAATGTGAAGTCGAATCTATCTTTCAGCTGGATTACCTCCATGAATATTTCCTGATCCTGGAGTTGGAACAGCCTCGGCTGCAGCCCACAGCTTGGCTCTGCATTAATTAGAATTTATCACAGCGAATTTTAATTATAAATAAACCTGTGCTCCTCACCCCGACTTGAGGACGTGGCAGAGGTCAAGGCTTATTCATCTTCGTGTTAATCTTGTTTAGTTCAGTTGCTGGCAGGAAGAGAACTTAATAAACTCAGAGTTGCTAGCTGGCTGTTGAAGAACAAGGCTTTCATAGTTAACTTAGCTTCAATATAAAATTCAAAACAATGAAGAAGACAGAACTCAAACATAGCAGGGAAATAACATACACTTGTACTCTCAAAATAAATACTAATCACTTTTATTTTATAAATACAGATGCTGAGTTTTCTTCCAATTACCAACAGATCAGTTTCACATGCCATTCATTATTGGTGGTGGCTTAAAAAATTATTTAAATAACCAGTTAGGTCAGGATAAATGGGCACCATTAGAACTGCTAAAAAAAATATAGCTGGATACAATCTTCCAAAACTAATATTCCAAGGGGGGAAAAAAATCTCTGGAATTTTTAAAGTGGGTAAAGGGAGCAGAAAGAGAAAACACAATCAAATACCCATTTGATAACATTTGTCAGATGTTAAAAGTGTCTCAGCTACATGAAAACTGAAAAAGCTCTCAGCAGTTCAGAAATGGATAGTAGTAAGTTTTCACTTCAACTCAAAGCAAATTTTAATTTTTTTGTGTAATTCACAAGACCAATTCAAAAGGTTAGCAGAATATAGCAACTTATCCCATTATTTTGGTCTTGACCACTTTAAACAGAGGCAAAACAAATTCCGCAGCTTTGGAAAAAGGTTGAACAGTTATTCCTGGTGACGCGTAAACCTGGAGGTTCCGCCTAGGTCACTGCAGAAGCTGCAAACATCCCACTCAAAGGACAACCCAACCTGCAAGCCAAATGCAGCCGAGACACGGTGTGGCCCAAGCCATTGCGTTGGTGACTGTTGCTCAATCTTCAGCAATGTGATGATCCCATTCCGAGGCAGGGCTCCATGCTTGGGGATAAAAAGCTGCGGACCCCCAGAATCAGGGAGTCTGCATATGGGAGTATGAAGGAGAGACTCTCAGGGCTCCCGGCTTATCTGCTGTGGGGGCCCAAGGCAAACTGTCCCCGTGGTTGCGCTGAGCTCCTGGGCTTGCCTGCTTGTGCCCGGAGTCAGCAGGAGAGTCTACAGTGGGGTGTGCTCTGCCTTTGAATGTGGCCTGCAGTTTAAGCTGCACGCCCTTATCTGGGGCAAGCACATAGCACACGAGGTTCACCTTCTATTACCCAACCCTCACACAGGTCCTTCAAAAACTTTTTTGGATGCAGATGTTACTTCATTGGGAGGCCCCAGCCCAGTCTGACTTCCGTCCAAGACCATGTCTACCTTCACTCCCTGACTCTAAAATGAACGACAGCACCCTACAAAGCAGCTATGTGTCCGTGGCTTCTGCTCCAGGCTTGGTGTGGTCCCGTCTCACATGGAATAAGATGGATTTCTTCAGATCAAGTTAAAGCTTTTAATGCCTTGCAGGTCGGGTCTGTCTGTCATGCAATGATTCTGTGAGTTTCTATGTGGAACAAATGAACTACTCGATTTGACCATGTAGCTATAAATTAAAACTGAGTCCAGGAGTGCTTGGACAAAACATGAAAATGACTACGAAATCAATGAGTTAAGACGACATGCAGGATGAGTGCAGCTACTGGAGACTGCACCTGTGAAGGTGTTTATGCCACGATACACAGCAGGTACACTCAAATGAGGTCAGGGACATTAGCTTAGAGATGGCCACTGTTTTGTTCAGGTTAGTCCTGCTGTGATGTAACATCTAGAAATGCAAGTTCAAGAGAAATTCCACAGCTGGAAGAAAAAAATCAGGTCAGGTGATGTAAACTCAATTTTTATTCTTCTATACAATACACAGATATATGGATAAATTTTCCTTAAAGAGCTTGCAACCCTGAGGCGACATCCTTGGGTATATAAAGTATAAAGCAATAGCAAATAAAATCTGAGTTCCAGGAATGACAATTGGATTTCAAAAACATAATTTAATATTTATGCAATTGCACACAGACCAATAATATTCTATGCCTCACCTAGTCCCTTAACCCAACTGTATCAATGGCCTTGCAGTCTGTACATTGGACAGCCTGACCCTACGTATAATTAATCATATACAATGCTTTCCTCTCCAACTAAAATTTAATAAATTAACATGGGATTTACATACAGGAATTTGTGTCTACTGGGTGCACTGCCAGGAAGCATGCCTACTTGTTTATGGCAGCATTTGCTCACGTAAACACTTTGGTCCCCAAAATGGGGTTGGACACTCTCTGACTGTAGCAACTTTGGGGTCCTTGAGGGTCCACTGGGATTGAACAGAGGTGAGGTTTTTCATCTAATTTGAGGACTCTCTCCGTCCAGCTGACTAGAGGAGGTGGAAGGTCACGGTCCCTGCATCCAACAAGCAGTGACCCTCATGTCCTCAGTTTTCAGGATGTACAGCCCCACCTACCGTGAGGTGGGGCAGCAGTGTCTGAGGGTGAGTGGTGCGGGGGGCAGGGGTGGGGTGGGTGAGCCGAGGTCTAAGGACACCATTGTGCTTATTCATCAATGGTAGGGATGGCAAAAGATCCTTCAGTAAATGATGGGAAGCTTTGTCTGAATATTCATTTCCCAAAGTTTCACAAAATATGGTGAGGGCAAATGCTTATGAGAAACTAAAGGTGAGTTCATTATATTATTTATATATTATCATCTTCCCTCTGAGGATAACATAGAAGTGTAAATAAAAAAGCAGACAAATATCTATAAGGTGACTCGAGCTAGAGAGTAACTTTTGCCTTAAAACAATCGTCAGACCTGTAAAGCAAATCTTGCAAGCAAAATCTAACTCTGTCTGGCCCACTGATACACAATGACCCTGAGTCCCTTCTTGATTCACAAAGTCTGTTTCTCTGAGGAATATCCTCCAGTAATATCCATTTTGTGTCATAATTATTAAAGGGTAACCGGTGCAGCTTTATCTTCATTTTAGGCCACGACTCTGGCCTGGTCCTCTTGTCTCTGCTCACTTCACTTATCAGAACTCCGGCGCGGCCTGCGGAAGCTGGATACATTTTCATTCAGTGCATAGATCCTTCGGGAGAACTCTTCAAATTCTCCCAGAACTTGCTCGTCACACTCCACTGCCACGGCACTGTCCACTGGGATACAGTTAAAGGCTTCCAGCTGATCGCCTGAGGTGAAACCTGTGGCTTCCATCCCAATGATCTCTTCTGCTTGCTCCACAGTGCAGCAGAGCTCAGCTTCTGAGACTGGGGGGAACTCACCCGGAGGCTGGACGCCGGAAGAGCTGGCCTGTTCGCTGGGCAAGAGCGTGCCATTCACTGTGGCTGGATGCCCAGGGAGTGCTTCTGCTTGCTCTTGGCTAGTGTTCACACTCATATGGCCCCTATTTAAGCTGTCACCCAAGTCAACTGCTTTTTTCTTATTTTCTTTGGAGAAGTCCAAGGAGGTGTCCAAAGAGGAGCACAGAGATGCTGTCTTCCCCTCAGACTCTCCCATTGGGGCGATGGTGGTCACTGGCTGGGCCAATGCTGAGTTGTAACTGGGAGGAGGGGTTTTGTACTGGAGTCTCTCATTCTCTGAGCTGGCACGTTTTCGGTGTCCTTTGTCTGGTGAAGGGATTACCCCCGAGAAGCCCTCATCTGCACCCCCAAATATGGAGCTTTGTCTCTTTGGAACAGGGATTGCACTGGAGGTATGATGTCTGTCGCTAGAAGGCAAACACAAAATGACAAGTTACTTTTTTCTACTTCCGAATATAGCTTAAGCCTTTTATAGCCAGACACAGGAAACAGCACATGTAGGTCTGAGTTCATAAAAATTCATAATCAATCTTAATATCAGTGGCAGTGTCTGAATACATGAAAAACATAAAGCATTCTGGGTTCAACGTGAAAGCTTCCTTCAAGACATGCTAGAACATGTCCAGGACAGTGCCTGGGAGGATGGGGCACAGAAATCTGGTTATACAGGGAAGAGTGGAAGTTAACAGACTCAGATCTGGAAAGAAAAACAGGGATATAATCAACTTCACAGTTTGAAGGGTTACCGATGTCCTTCGACTTGCTTTTAATATTCTGCTCTCGTTTTCTCTCCATAAAACAGGCATCATCACTTGCCAGAGAGGCCAAAGGACTTGCCCGTGGCTAGCCTAATACACCGACTCATGACTTGATCAATAATTTTTCCAACATCAAATGCTAATCCCCTTGCAGTAGAGAACTGGCAGAAGAGACCAAGGACAGGCACGCACACACACACACACACACACACACAAACATTTTTAAAATGAAAAATTAACTTGGGAAATGACTTCTAAGTCACACTGGTATCTTCAGTCCTTCTCTTAACCTGAATTCTCGGGAAGATCCCTTTGGGCCAGCCAGCACTAACATTCATTACTTAGTTAAACAAAGCATTTTAGTTTTTGAAGAATTTCATAAACATCATTTCACTCAGTGTTCACAAAAACCCTGCCATGAAAAGCAGGCAACACAGTACTCCTACGTCTGAAAGAATAAACAACAATTAGTTAATGGAAATAAAGTACCCAGACCCTGGGAGTGAAGGCCCTGGTATGTCCTGTGCTATTTAAGCCACTCCTGGATGCTGGGCACAGGTCTAGGCACTACGCCTGCAGGAACAGTCAGCTGTGATTGCAGCTATATGAACAGACTGAATCGAAGGGCGGTGCAAACCCGCGCCCCAGCCGACCGTGATGAGGAAATGCACCGAGAATGGCTCGCCGGAGAGCAATTACTGGGCAGGTGGAGAAGCTAGCCTTGAAACCACACCCACCCAGCCAACAGCTACTCCATGTGCAGGCCTGGGGAGGGCAAAGATGCAAGACAGAGCAGCCATGCCACTGTAGGGTGTCAATTCTGCAGGAGAAAGACATTCGTAATTATTGAAATAATGCATTTGCAAATTATAATAGTGATAAGCACCTGGGGGCGGGCGGGGTGGGGGGGTCTAAAGAGTCCTTCTCCCTGTGTCCAGAGGCACAGGCCCCAAAACCCAGCTCTCTGTGCCTTCTGAAATCAGGTTTTGTTCTGATGCTGGGTTATACCTATGGTGTCAAATACCTAAGCAAGGTTTATTCTCCTTGAGAAAAACAGTCACAGCCCTCTAATCTGTGGACCTGTTAGACACCTTTGCTTGGTTTTGAGTATTGGAGCCAGGAGAGATTTCATAATTAGGGGTGGTCACTGGGGTGCCCATAGAACTGTGTGAGTAGACCAGAAAATTACTGTTTTTAGTTCTCAAGGAGAACAAAACAAAACAGAGCAACCTCTGCTGGTCTTAATCCAGGTTTTCAGTTAATATGTTGTCAAAATGCAGGGTAACTGGGTGAGCCACACATTTCTGCTAACCTTGTGTTTTCATGCTACCGTTTGCTGACAATGTTCCTTAGCAAATGATTCTGCAGGGGCCTAGGTAATCAACCAAAACAGAGCATCAGCACTCCCCACAGACAGTCTGTTCTGGGCAGACAGGCCACGCTTTCAGCTGCTGTCCCAACCCAGGAGGGATGGGACATGTCAGGAGAGCGGCGAGGGCAGGTGACATGGCCTGCATGCCCCTGGAGGCCACGTGCCTGGCCCTCACCGCTGTGGAGGGTCAATGACGTGAAACCCTTCCTGCCTCTAGCTCTCATCCCCCGCCTGTGGGCCGAGAGAAGGCAGGGCTAGACGAGCAGGTGCGGGCACAGCGAGCGGTGCTTATGAGGCCAGGAGAAAGGGCCTTCTGTGGTGCTCATTGACTTTGACACGCCCCAAAGTTTTCCTTACTAGCACTTGACACAAAGGAAAAGTAATAAAGTTAACCTGCTTCCTCCCAGCTACAATGGGCTGGGAACCACCATTTTCCTGAGCCTGAAGAATACTGGACCCCTACATTTTTCCCTGTGAGAAAAGCAGGCAGCTAGGTGGCTGATGTGGTTTGCTCAAGTGGCATGACCTACAGCTGAACTGTTGAGTTGTCAGAAAAGTCATGGCACATTTTTGCTTGCAAAACACAGAAAAAAATACACCATGACTTTTCTAACAACCCAGCAGTGAGACTGTGGGTCTTATTCCAGAGTCCACACAGTCAGCTACATCCCACATGGGAAAATCATATCCAAATCCAACTAACATTTGCTAAATGCCAATGATTAAATGCCAGACATCAAACAAAATGACACACACCTAAGCTCTGGGGTGCTGCTTCTATTTTAATGGATAAATACTAAGACCTTGGTATTTTCTGCTATTGTTTTCCAGTTCCCTTGGATTTTCATGAAAGAGTAGGCAGTGACAGTGTCAGATACAATCTGGAAAACCCAACTCACAAGGAAACATTCCAAAAATGGTAATGGGGGCCCTGCCTGGTGGTGCAGTGGGTTAAAGCACTGCACTGAGAAGCTCAAGCCAC